CCTTCCGTTGGGTCTATGCTGGCCATACTTTTCCAATCACGAAAAAAAAAGAGCAGCATCATATCACCGACAGAAAAGCGCGAATACAAACGAAACCGACAGCTGACATAACCATTCGCAAAAGAAGGTAGATGCATTCTATCGACCTACATGTACATTTCTGAACGCCTTCTATTCCAGCGGAAAGGCGAGTCACTCACTAAAAGAGTATGAAATATAGGTATGGTCAAATTGATAGGATTCCACTCGTCATTCGTCTGTGATTGGCTGCACGCAAAAACCAGCCAATCATGGGCGAGCGGGTGTGTCGGGTCGGCAGGGGTGTGGTTCGCTGAGACAGAAACGACTTTTCCGTTTTTCGCAGCAAGGAAACCCAAGATTTATCACTGATCAGGCGTGGACCGGAGTTCTCGCAACGGAAAATGTCGAAAGCGGAAAAGTCGCTTTCTGTCCTAGTGCCACAATCATCCCTGATCGTGAGTGGAGTTGGGCTTCCTGTAGCAAAAAAAACAGGCTTCGCGCTGCGGAAAGTGAAGAATCGGTCCCGTCCTAGCGACCCTCACCCACCCACACCGGCCGGCAGCACTTCTGCAACCCGTGTAGCAGAGGCGATACTGAAAGATAATCTGAGCACCTTCTCGACGAGAAGTCACAAGACCGCAAAATGGCGAACTATGGCACAGCCTTCAGATACAATATCCCTTACTGAATAAGTGATTCATGAATGACACACCACATGAGTTCAGTTTCGCTCGTTTCTATAGCGAGCTTTTACTTATCTCGTTAGACTGCAAAGCTATCATCCTTTTGATGGAAAGCTGGTGTCAGAGTCCGCGATCCGTCGCAGGTTTCGCTGATTTTCGCGATTTGCGCGATTCACGCGACGGGTCACGGAAATCACAAGTGCCCGATCAATACTACAAGGTGTTCTCCAATCAGGGTGAATATCGCTTGAGGATTCCTCAACGGCACGTCGAGGATTCTCTGCACGATCTCTCGCGCGGACATTCACACTCGCCATGGCGTGCCGTCTGTGCTCTCCGCGCGGATGTTCACTCTCGGCACTACTCTCGCATGGTAGAGAGCTATGGTCGAGGAAATCCTCGACCGTTATTCACCCTGTCTCCAATCCTGCCGCCACTTCTGCTTGATAGTGATGGCTGAATGACGACTGCTCATGATTCCACTTGTTTCATATTCAGTGTTTCAAATGTTCAAATGGGGCACTTGCAATTTTTGCGATCCGTCGCAGGTTTCGCGCAAATCGCGAATCGCGCAAATCGCGCAAATCTGCGAAAATCAGCGAAAACCTGCGACGGAATCGCGGATTCTGACAGCAAGCAGGAACTCATTAGAATGGAGGATCCACTGGAAGAATTTCCTATCTTCGTGTAAATTGATCAGCAAATAGCAAGGTTACCGTCAGAGACACAGTAGAAATAGAAAATCGACACTGCCGATGCTCAACATTACAGCCTTGAGTGAAAATCAAAGGGAGCACAGTAAAAATATTCATTGATCACGTGATGCAAAGATTCACTTGCACTACAATCAGCTCTGTGTAGAGAATAATTTACAGAAAAATCTTTATCTATGAACAATCTACAACTACATCAATCTACTTCGATTCCTTCAAGTAGGTATACGGTGGGAGCAATTTTCCGTAAGCGAGGGTGAAAAGGTTGTAGATGCCGATGATTAGGCACATGAAACCTGTAATAGTAAAGTCAAGAAACGAAGATATTCTACAAAACTCCATCGCTGAAACACTCACCAAACAACTTCCCACCATTTTGGTTAGAGCTCGATCAAACGGACCTGCCTCTTCAGACTTCTTTCCATCAAGAAGGGCTTTCTACAAGGAGGAGTTTCAAATGCAAAGAATAAGATGGGAATATGCGAATAACTTACCGAATAGACTTCAACCTGCTTCCTCAACTGAGGATCGTCAACCGCTAGCTTGCCCATCCGCAGTTTGCACTCTTGTTCCCTCAGGGAGACGAGGAAGAATTTTACCAGCAGCCTGAATGTGGAATGATTTTTGTCATATATCCCTCTAAGTGGGATAGAATTCCCCCTAACAAAATCTGAAACATGACATGTTTACCGAAATAAAAGGAAGAAACATCGAACAAGAAACAAATAATAAAATTAAATTAAAACGCTCACTCCGAGCTGCCATTCTCCAGGATTGAGGGGGTCGAACTCCTCAAGGGTTGGAGGCGTCTGGAAAATGAGTGCAAAAATTAACTTTGATGGAACCCGTGCATGGCGTTCACATTCGTCAAGATACTTCTTTACACGCTACGACCAGACTTTCAGATTTTGAAAGTTCGTGAATGAGATACCACGATTTCAAGATAGAATTACATCTACGGAACAAAAAACAGGCTGCTACTGCTACAGCCACCTGTTCAGGCCAGTGTTCCGTTTACGTAAACAACTCTCTAGATAGTTGTGCCAGTAAATCTTTTCAAGAACGCCCACAAACAAAGAATAGCGAAATGATATTAAAACTACAGCTGGTCAACTATAATAAGCGACCATTTCATCATAAGCGTTATTCGCAATGTACAATTAACCAGTCACAATGAGTTTAGGCAAGCTACACTGCCGATTTTCTTAGAACGCGATTATCAACCCGACTTCAAAAGTAGCAGAAACACACCTTGCCCGCATGGGTGGGAATCTGACTATATGTCGTAGCACATCGAATAGAATGAAGTCGGACTGTACCGAGTGTGCGAAGAGCAAGCATGGTCACTGTAATGTAATTCACAACATTCGAAAAAAAAAAACTGTAATAACATTGAAAGGGAAAGGAAGAAAACAGCAAGGAAAGCAAGAAAAGTAATGGGAATCGTCCAGAAATAATGTAGTGCATTCACAATCACAGCTCGTATATAAAAATGAAAAAAAAAGAGTACATTAATGCGCAACATATCTGGAAAACTGTTGCACTAATAGACCACCAAGACAAATATAAAACAAAAAACCTCGAGCGCAATGTGGCTCTGGGGGTGCCAGCGTGGTGGCCCCCAGCGTGTGAGTCATCGTCAAGCATCACGAGAACTTTTACTTTTGGGACTAAGCATTGAAGGAAAAGAGGGAATGAGAGCTGCGTAAACAATTTGTGTTGGGCTTAGTCCTAGTGACCTTCCGACAGACTGCCCCCCCCCAGAGGCACAATGCGCCGAAACCTCTCCGAAAATTCCGCCTGTAAGGCTACTTCAATGATCACGAATTTATTTTCGAGTTAAAATTCACGCCACACTTAGGCGTGGGTCGCTAGGACACAGGACACAAGTTTCTGGAGTGAAAGTTTTGCGCTGAGAAATGCGGAAAAGCCGCTTTCTGTCCCCAATACCCAACTTTATTCATCAAAATCGTCAAATACCTACGTGTGGGAAGGAGTTAACTGGCTTACTAATCACGAATATGACACCGATTTTCCACGTTGACCTCACCTCGCGCAGTTAGAAACCAAATCAGCGTCAAATTAGCGCCAAGTGGAGTTAGCACCAAATTCCCATGTCATTTTCGTAATCAGTACATCGAATTACACCAATGGGTGAATTTCCACTTTTTTAAGATTATAGTGCTGAAGGCGTCTAGAGTTGATAGATAGTACAACAGTTTCTTTGAATTGTCAAAAAGTACTGGCTCGGACGACATCGCTCGTACTGATTGATATCCGGAGAAGAAACTGATACCTTTGCACTATGAACCTGCCTTAAAACAACTACTAACAAACTCGTTGATTCAAAACGAGAAATCCAGAAAAAGATCCTTGTGCAATTCAGTGCCCTGATCAGGAATGCCATTCGTTTTTTTGGGGTTAAAGTTCACGCCGCCTTGACGCGATTTGGAACCAGCGCCAGAAGCGCCACAAATCATAAAGATTTTGAATAACAAAAAAGTCTTAAACCAGACTTTCCCTTGATCTTCATTATCAAAACCGCGTATACGGTAACCGCCTTGATCTACCTTCGATGCTTGCCGCCAAAAAAGACGCGTTCAACCGAAATCGAGGGATTGGCAAAAGCGGAATACCGCGGACACTTCAGAGACAGCAGACGACCAGATGATTATTGGCTCACTATAATAAGAGCTGTAGTACTGTGCGGGTGTGGGTACTTAGGACAGAAAGCGACTTTTTCGCTCTTCGCAACGCGACATCGCGCGGCAGGCTGGCGCTCCCGCAGCGAAAACAACTACGGTATGAAGAACGCGCGATTGGAGCAGCTTTTTTGCATGCGTGAATTTGTAAGTTTCTGATTTATTGCTTGCCCACGCTCACACTCATTGTATTGAGACATGCGGTGAATCACCAATTCTCTCTCATCAATGGAAATGTTTTGTGAATTACACGATTCCGAGCGATGCCGTTAAAGTGGTATTCTAGAATTCTAGAACACTTCAAATTATTGGTGAACGAGGTAATTACACACTCATCGGCCTAGGTAATACTCTATATAATTATAGCACCTGGGGCCGGGTGCAGCAAGCCCCAACTAGGGGAGGGATCCCCAACCTTGGGGACATATCCCCAACCTTGGGGATACATCCCCAACCTTGGGGATACATCCCCAACCTTGGGGATATATCCCCAACCTTGGGGATACATCCCCAACCTTGGGGATACATCCCCAACCTTGGGGATATATCCCCAACCTTGGGGATATATCCCCAACCTTGGGGATACATCCCCAACCTTGGGGACATATCCCCATCCTCGACATTCTACGAATCGTTCAAGGGTTTCGTCGCAGGACCCAGGGCTTCCGCATCTCGAAGGCTCACGGACCATTAATGTTTCGTAGCACTATGGCAGTTTCGAAATACAATGGCACGGCACACATAGGAACCGTTACTATCTCTTCACTTCGTGGCTCTTACGAAATACAGTGGCAAATGGTCTTGGAGGCTGAGCGCCTCTTTCACATCGTTAACCATTTTTCTTCAATTGCCTTTCCCTCTTTTTTTTTGATTCTGTGGTTTCTTCTGGCTCAGTGTGGCCCCGTGAATGGTGTCAGATTCACGGAAACGCTCAGTTTTGGGGCTGACCCTTAGAAAAGAAAAAAAAAAAAAAAAAAAAAAAAAAAAAAAAAAAAAAAAAAAAAAAAAAAAAAAAAAAAAAAAAAAAAAAAAAAAAAAAAAAAAAAAAAAAAAAATAATCCGAAGTGTCTAAGCAGTCTTCCTTCTCAAGCTCTGCCTTCTCCCTTCTCACGTTGAACAAACTGCATCGTGATGCCCCCTAACTAGAATATACCCCGCCAATTTTCGCCGAACTTCTAAAATTCCTTTTTTTAGCGCAACGAGCGGTGGATCCCGCGCCACGCCCTCCTCTCGCAGAGGCACATTGAGCCTTTCCTAGGCACTGTTCACACATTGCGCCACAGCCGAATGACGCTCAAAACGAACGAATCTGCGCAAATGCGAAATGAATGAAATGCGTATCGATCTACAAAATGGGAGGAGCATCGAATCGCGCAAAATCTGCGAATCCTTTTAAAAGAAATGGGTGTCTATCGACCGAGTCAATCGGAGATCGACAGCGCGAAACGGCGGTGCAAAAATCCTCCAGCAACGCTAATACAGCGTGCTCTACAATGTCGACACGCATTTAATCCTTTTCGCATCTGCTTTCGCGCGTGCGCAGATTCTTAACCCTTTCGGACCTGAATTTTTCCCCGTGGAGAAATTTTACTTCTAGCTATTGTTTTACTTGTGAGCATATAGGTATCATTATGGCTAAATTTGGAAGCTATTCGATCACAAACAAAGAAACTGAGAAGCTTTGAAAATTGGCCTAACCTTCTTAGTTTTTAAGCTTATGTCGAAACAATTCGAAGTTTCATAGTTGTGCCGAAAAAGTTTATAATCTTGCATAATATTATAACCCATTAATTTT